ATCTATCTATCTATCTATCTATCTATCTATCTATCTATCTATCTATCCACGTTTTTCTTCTTCTTCATTTCATTGGCAGTTGGCAAACAACTGAAGGAAGCATTACTGCCACCAAATGAATAGAATAGAATAGAATTCAACTTTATTGTCATTGCACATGTCACAGGTACAAAGCAACTAAATGCAGTTTGCATCTATCCAGAAGTGCTTAGCAAGAAAAATAAATTGGTAGATATATATAGTACAATATACAGTAAGTTGCTTTGAATATGCTATAGGTATAAATATATACAGTTTGTGAGTGTACAGACTATGAACAGGTTTTAATATGAAGGGGTATAAACAGCTATATAAAAGAAAAAATATATATAAGTATGTGAGTACTTATGAACAGTAGGTGGTAGATTATGTGTACAGTTTGTACAGTAGTGGGCTAACGGACGAAAGTGCAGGTGGTGGTGTTACAGTCCATGTGCTGTTGTTGTGTGTATGATAATACAGACCGTTGTTGTTGGAAAGGACAACAACGGAATGGAAAGGAGTGTGGATCACATGACCAAAAAAAAAAAAAACCCCTCTCTTTTTCCTTTTATATCCTATTATACAACCTACACTGTTTAAAAAAGAAAGGAAAAAATATATATAGCCTGATAGCCTCTGTTTCCTGAATCTTTCTGCATTAAATCAACAATGTCCAATTTAATTTTCATTTTACTAAGATGCCTAATCAACTTGTTTCTTTGAACCTGATTTATCCTGCAATGCAAAATAATGTGTTCTATTGTCTCATCTTCTCCACACTCACATTTCCCTGTCTGGTGTTTCTCTATTAAAAATAATGTGCTATTCAGCCCAGTGTGCCCAATTCTGAGTCGTGAAATAATTGTGTCTTCTCACCTGTTTCTTTCTGTTCTTCTCCTTTCTTTTTTGGGGGGCGGCTGTGTCTGAATGGTTAAAGCAGTCGTCCTCCAATGCAAGAGTTGGGGGTTCAAATCCACCAGCAGTCACATGCCGAAGTGTCCATGGGCAAGACACTGAACCCCTCATAGCCTCTGATGTGTGTCCCATCAGTGTATGAATGTGATCTAAAGCACAGATTAGTCTCTTTAGAATGATTTGTTCAATTAGCTTTGTAGAGATCTAGTAGAGTGCTGGATGAATGGGTAAATGAGGCACAGATTGTTGTGTAAAGCTCTTTGAGTATCTTGATTAGATAGAAAGGCACTATAATCCATCTTTCTCCATTTTTCCTTTGGATTTTATAAAACCACCGCCCTTTCCTTTCTTCCTCCCATAATTTTTGCTACCTTTCTTTATTTTTTTTTTGTTTTATTATACCCTTTATTTCTGTTATACTAAACCTAACATTAACATCAACCACGTCCGACTAGTGCTGTCCTTAGCCATCCAGTCTGCCTTTTCATTCCCCGTAACCCCGTGATGAGCTGGAACCCATATAACATTTACTGTAAGCCCCATCATGTTGATCCTATAAAGTGTTTTTTTTTTTTTTTTTTATTTTAATTAATATAGCTGGTCTAATATCTGCCTTATGTTTCAAACTGGCCAGTGATGAACTAGAATCTGAGCAAATGATTGATTTTAATGGTCTTACCTCTTCTACCCGCTGAACTGCTAAAAGTAAAGTGAGCATTTCTCCTGTATAAACTGATACTCCATCACTAACCCTTTTTCCTATTAATATGAAATTGTGGTACAATAAACACTATCCCTATTCTATTAGCTGTATTTTGAGATGCATCTGTGTATATATGTACATAATTATAATACTGGTTGATGTATTCTTGTACTGTATATGTATTCATAGTAAAAAAAGTTTTTTTTATTTTTCTGTTCTAATAATGCAAAATCTACTATAGCATCAGGAAGTACCCAAGATGGTATTGTGGGTAATGGAACTTTATGACATATCTAATTTCTCTAAATGGACTTCATTAACTTTGGTATTTATTATCCATCCAAAGCTCTTTATTTTTTCCTTTTCCCAACCTGATTTAAGCGCCTCTAATGTATGTATCATTTTCTTTTTGAGAGAGACGGAAATACGTCATTGGGTAATCTTATTTTGGTGGAACAAACCTGGAAGTTATTTGTCACTGACGGAAATACGTCATTGGGTAATCTTATTTTGGTGGGACAAACCTGGAAGTTATCACTTTCTTGGTGAGACTGACGGAACTACGTCATTACGTGATCTTATTTCGGTGGGACAAACGTTTATGAACAGTTGTGAAACCTCCAATTCGCTGGTAAAGGTGAGTTTATACAAAATGACTCACATTATGAAACACACACAAAGGTTGCTTTGAATTCCGATACTTCAGCTCCACGTTTTAAATTTTCTTTCGTGTCTCTTTGAGCTTGAAGCGCTTCATTGTTTACATCCGACCGGTAACTTTAGGCATTAGCCACGTGCACAGAGACAGCATGTGCTAACGTTATTAGCAGAGGTACGGAGAGAAAACCGTCACTTCTCAGCGGTAAAGTCCCTGTTTCAAGTGTGTTAAGGTGTGCTATATTTTACACACCCATCGGGAGTTTAATAAAGAGCAGATGTGTGGATGTACCAGTCTGCTAGCTTGTTGTTAGCTCGTCGATGCTAACAACCGTCCAGAGTTCAGAGCTACTTCCACAACAGATTTATCTCATTTTGCTTGTGTTAAGGGTTTAGTAAATTTTCGCAGCTCTGTTCTCGTGAGGGTGGATAATAAGCAAAACCACTCGGAGATCCTTTTAGGACGTTGTCTTCGTCTTTATTGTTGCATTAACAACGGTTCTTCACCACCGTCTCTTCCAGTGTTGCCAGATAGAGTCGAGGTTTTCAAGCCCAAAAGTCTGTTAAAAACCGCCCCATCACACACAAACTCGCCCAATAAATATATCGTTATATTTACTGTTTGAGCACACACACAAACATAAATAAACTCACACATACACACAATACCACCCCTGTAAAGATATATTGGTGTTCATATGTTCATAAAGGGCAGCACGGTGGCGCAACTGGTGCCTCTGTTGGCACCTGCCTAAAGCTGCTGCCTCTCAGCGCGCAGGTCCCTGGTTCCAATCCCTGTCCGGGTGCCCCTCTGGGTGAAGTTTGCATGTTCTCTACGTGCATGCATGGGTTTTCTCCGGGTACTCCGGTTTCCTCCCACAGACCAAAAACATGCATGTTAGGCTGATGGTAACTCTAAATTGTCCCTAGGTGTGAGTGAGAGAGTGAATGGTTGTTTGTCTCGTTTGTCTCTATGTGGCCCTGGGATGGACTGGAGACCTGTCCAGGGTGTACCCCACCCCCCGCACAGTGATTGCTGGGCATGGGCACCGGCGACCCCCGTGACCCAAAATGTAAAAAGCGGGTAAAAGATGATGGCTGGATGTTCATAAATGTCATTAATCAAAATCAGTTAAATCTGAACGTTCTTGCTCGTTATTCAGAAAATCAAAACGTCACATTTCAGAATCTGCTTATTATAGACAGATTAATTTATGTTCAATATGAGTATTTCTATATTTATCACCAGTTAGCTTGTAGCTTCGTTATTTAGCCCTCGAAGAAAATACTTTAACGCCACTTGCTTACAGTTTTCAACTAAAAAAAAAGTAACGATTAAACTGACAACTTTGATTTTACTTCAGACACGGCATTACTGCGGTTAGCCGGTAGAAGACAAATCTCTATCGTAGGCTAAATTTCTGTCGTTTCTACCATGTACCGTATATATCGCACATTCCTAATTGGCAGTAAACCACCCAATCTGGCAACACTGGAAATTTCTCATATTCAGTTAGCACAGCAGCACATCAACGGAAACCGGAAATACGTGTACTTACCAAAATAATAGTACAAGAGCGTTGTCCAAAACACTTAAACACCCCCACTCGCTCTTACGTTACTTGATTACAAATAAGTAAACGTAACTTTACATATACAGTGAACCCTCGCTATAACGCGGTTCACCTTTCACGGTCTCGCTGCTTCATGGATTTGCATCGTGCATTGTGTTCTGCATTCTGATTGGCTAAACAGTCTCTCCAGTACAGTAGTTATTTGTAAAAAAAACGTTTATACAGTACTTTGATTTGTTAAACACATGCTTGGGCCTGTAAAAAGGTTTTGTTCTTGGGTTTGAATGTATTATGGAGTATTTCAGTGTATAATAATTGTAAAAAAAAAAGGTTACTACTTCACGGATTTCACCTATCACGGGTTCTTTTTGGAACGTAACCCCCGTGAAAAACGAGGGTTCACTGTATGTGATTTAGATAAAACAGGCTCTGTTTTGAACCTTTTCAGTTTAAGCTTAGTGGCTGGTTTTGAGCTGAGCCTTTTTTCAGCCTCTTTTGTCTGTGGGTTTGCAGCCTGGTCTGAAACCCCCCACCCCCAATTAATTAATATTAATTAATATTAGTTGATATTAATCAATAATTTTTACCAACTTGAAGCATTTCTCTTTGGGACTTCACAACTGTTGACTCCTCATTTAATTCACACACTGAATGTGGTGTTGAACTGCGTGAGTCTGAAACGGTGGTTTCTTTCTTGGTGCCGTGGTGAAAAGCAGCTGTTTCGACACTGAAATCTAGGGCGCTGGTAGCCGGTGAACCACCTCATACTTCCTCACGCAGCACAAAGAAAATTAGCACCACACGTCCTTGGCCACTCTGACGTCCAAAGTCCACAGCACGCCTGTATTTTCCTCGGACTGCTTTCAGTTTGGACTTCACCTGGGCTTTTGTTATGGTGGTTTTCTCATGAGGGAAGTCTTCTCCATTTGCTCCTCTCATTAGCCGGATACTGTTCCAAGTAATGCGTACTTCGACTGACATGATTCCCAGTCAATGTTCTCTTGAAATTCTGCAGTTTTATAATTCAAAGTCACCCTAAGTAACGTCGTCTGTCCATAGAAATACATTATTCTCTGCCATCTTGACGGTAGTAGTGGCTTTCATGTATAACTTTTTTTTTTAACGCATGCACACTTAGAGTTTCAAGTTTCAAAGAATGTAGCACCAACTATTGGTGTTGTGGAGGAATTACACCGTTTCCACGTCTACATTACTGTGTAATCAGAGACAATAATTAAAACGTTTTCATGTAAATGTGTTAATAGAAATGGGAAAAATATTCTGTTTGCATTGGATTGTTGTCGTGTGAACAGGGCCTGAGTTTGATCTGCCGCTTTATAGTTTTTATTCTCACAAACAGGTAAATACACGCAAAATAATTGCCTCTAGATTACTTACTCCATGATTTATCACCACTGAGATGATGTTTAAATGATAAACTTCCAACATTCTAGCAGCACATTTTACACTAAACCTTATCAAAAACTTAATCAAGCTAAAGACATGCTTCCAAATTTTAACACGGACTCAAATGCAGCAATCTAATCTTACTTGGTTAAATCAAGTTCAAGGTTCTTTGTCATTTGTCATGTGGTACATGAGGTGGAATAAAATTGTGTACTCCAGGTCCCAGTTACTCCCCAAAATAGCAAAGATATAAAGTTTTTTAAAAAAGAAACCGTATATAAGCAACTAAGATGTACGCAAAACACTAATAATGTAAAATAATACGGTATATTGAATTAAAGTAAATTAAATTTATTAAAGTAAATAAAGATTTACTATTAAAAATGAAATGGTTTAGTTTCACTACTTGCCAAATGACATTGTGATATGAGGTATTTTAGTTTCTTAATTGAGATACTTCTATCTTTAATATTACTCGCAGTACTTTTTAGTGCAACACTTAAATATCTAAAATGTCTTAGATAGAGACTCTTCCCCAAAAGGATGGAGGCCAATCTGCTGCTTTTAAAAGACTTTAGGAGCATAGAGGAATTTAAGATGTAAGCAAGTTTCAAATGCAGTTATAAATATCAGCTCATTTATCACAAGATGTTGAAATGTTTCAATTGGCTAGATGAGTATTAGATGCCAAGGTGTGAATTTAGTTTAAACGTGGTTTGTTTATCGAGTATATGCGTTTTTGATTTGTCTTAAATCAAAGAAAATCTTTGTACATTTCTCATAGAAATGCCCAGTGACCAGACTGCAGTGGTGACATGGATTATTTCAACAGCACACCACTGGTTATAGATTTAGGGTGTGTTGAAACAGTTTAGATGTAGTTTGACAAAAAAACACATTAACAACTAAACCTGCCATTCATCCATTAAAGTGACAAGCCTGATAATGTACTTTACTTACTTTACTTATATTGAATACTTTTTTCTTAAAAAGTTTGACTTGTTAGACGATATTACGTCTTTACAAAAGGACTTGTATCAACAATGTAGTAATCTTGAAGTAAGTAATATTTCTTTAGTTTATATTTATTGGTTGTTTAGGTCTTGTTTAGGTGTTTATTGCCTTGCACTGTGAAATCCATATTAATTTTTAAGATCTTTTTTTAAGCAGTAGCTGTCACAATTATAGGAAAAAACAGTTTATAAACATTCCAAACAGCATTGTGAAGTGTGTAATTTCCTCAAAACCAATTGGAAAAGGTTCTTCTTGATGCAAAATGCTAAATGGTGTCTTTTTGGAGCAATGAAGCTGTTTATTGAGACCAAACTTTAACATTTCTCAGTACATTCACAGTGACAGAATGTACCTTTCCACACACTTTATGCTGAGCATAACATTGTTTTCAAGGTTTGACTAAAATAACCACAACTTTTTAATTTCTTTCTTTTTTTTTGGCTCTGTTTTGTTTTGTTCATTTTCATTTGGAAATGTTGTAGCATTTTATCCTGGAGTATTTTCTGCAACATTATGAAAGTATATTCTTGTTCTTCTAATGCAGCATTGCTCCATTTGCGAGTTTTTGTGTGTATTTTTTTTTGGAAGAAAATTTCTGCCTGTGAGGTTTTCATTTAGATTGGCAGCTGTAAACCTTTTCTTTTTGTCTTGTAGCATGTCCATAAAAACAACATAAAACAAGTTTCGTAAGCAATAGAGAGGAGCATGATGAATATGCTAAGCGGTCACTTCCTTTTTAGCCAATTAATGATCTTGCAAATTCAAAACAGTGACTGCAATAATTGTTTTTAAGGGGCCGTTTACACGGGGAGTATTTTGAGTGCACCCACAGCTTTCTCTCTGCGGTTCTGCTGATCATTTACACGACACCAGTGGCCCCCCTCTTCAAATCCGGAGGTTTCTGAATCCACCTTCCAGAATGGAGGTTTTTCGCTGACCCCTCGCAGATATCTCCCGCTGAGGCTTTGCGTTAAACCACGTGCAC